CTGGTGCTGGTGCTGCTGCTGATGATGCTGCTGCTGCTGCTGCTGCTGATGATGATGATGATGATGATGATGATGATGATGATGATGATGATGATGACGATGAGGATGTGGATCAGGATTGCGATCACGATGCCGATGGCGATGACTGCCACGACGACGATTCGTATGCTGGTGATGGTGACACGCCCCACGGGCTAGGTTTTTTTCGGTAGCGGACGCCGCCGCCGCCGCGGAGAGCAGGCCGCCAAGCCTGCGGAGAGCAGGCCGCCAAGCAGGGCGCCGTCGCGGAGAGCAGGCCGCCAAGCCTGCGTCTGCGGCAGCCCCCCCCCGCCGCGCGCGCCGCTCGGAGGCCCGCGCGGAGCGCGCGGGTCTGGGCGCTGCACGGGCGCGGCACGGCGCGGCGGGGGCCGCGCGGTGCCGAGACGCGGCGCTTTTACGAAGGATTTCACGAAGGATTTTTTGTTTTTTTGTTTTTTTGCAATCTTTTTTTTTGCAATCCTTTGCAATCCTTCGCATTCGGTTCGCCCTGTGCGGAACACGCGGTGCGTCACGGCGGAGCCGCGCGTGCCGCGGCGCCGCACGGGTCTGCGCCAGCTCGGTGTGCTGGGCACGGCGCAGCGTGGCACGGCCCGCGGGAGCGGCGTCTTCGTGCAGCTGCGAGGCGTGTGCCGCTGCGGCCGTCGGAGCGCGGCGCGCCCGGCCGCGCGCGCCGCGTCGGCTTGGCATGCGCGGGCGTTGTTCAGGGGACCTGCCTCCCTCGCCTCCTGCTCCTCCTGCTCCTCCTCCTCCTCCTCCTCTTCCTCCTGCGGTTCCATGGTTCTGTGGTTCTACCTTTCTGACATAATGGTTCATGGCCGAAGCGTGCCGAATCCACACGCACACAAGTTCTGAGGGGCGCGAAAGAGTGAGGCGCCTCCCAGCGCCACACGCGGTGGGCGCAGCCCGCTGGAACATTAGTGTTGTCTCTGAACGCTGAAGTAAGGGTCGAGCGGCACATACAAAATCACGGGCCCGAGGGGGCACTTCGTACGAGCACTCCCCGCTTTTGGGGTCCAATGATTAAAGCCTTGCCACATACATTCAGCTAGAAACTTGCAGAGTTCGGGTGGACAGGTCTTTTGGGGACCGCGCTACGGGCCCCCCCACGCTGTCAGACCCGAGCGCCGACTGAAGGCCTCCCCTGTGAGTGCACCGTCTCCTCCCAGGCGAAGCCCAAACCTTTCGCCCCTGGGGTCGTTCACGGTCAGAGACTTCGTCGGCTTTGGTAAACGCAGCCAGAACCGCACACGGCCAAGGTAACCTTCTCAGCTTCAGGACGGGAGGCAATGTGTTGAATTTCTTCGAGCTGCCATGAAGACGGAGCCCCTTTGTCCCACCACGGCTCCGCAGGGTGCTCCATGATCCTAGGGGCCTCCTCCTTCCCCTTGTCACCCTTGTCTCCTCCCTTCTTCCCGCAGGCTGGGAGGGTGGGGCGGGGGCGCCGTACCATTTTCGGCCTGTGTGGGGGGTCTTTCATGTCCGTCTCAGACTCTGCTTTGGGCACCCCCAGGGGTGGGCAAGGGCCCAGGCTTGGAAGCAGGCGGCGCACGAGAGTCTTATTGTGAGACCTGACTTGACCGACTCGTCGCGATTCGAGGCCAGTTCTGATCAGTGTGGTGCAAGACAGAGGTCCCTCTTCACATGACCCCATCGTGTCAGAGCTCAGATGCGATCTCTCGCCCTCACCCCCCCGAGTTCCCCCCCCCAAATCAGCCAGTCTAGAAGAGAAGGGTAACACTCTCAGATGCACCCCAGAGAGAACCGTTCGGATGCTCCCCCATCGAGGATGGACGCCCCCCCTCCATCGTGTATCCAGATTGTTTGTCCAGTCGAAATCCAAGATTCTGGATTCTGGATTCTGGATTGTCCAGTCGAAGTCGCAGATTGTTGGATTCTGGATTGTCCAGTCGAAGTCGGATTCTGGATTCTGGATTCTGGATTCTGGATCCCAGTTGAAATCCCAGATTGTTTGTCCAGTCGAAGTCCCAGATTGTATCGTGTATCCCCGGTTCTGGCCCCAGATTTGTTTGTCCAGTCGAAATCCCACAGAGTCGGGGATCTGTGCCGCCGTGCGGCCGGGAAGGCGTTTGCTTAGCACATGTCGCGCCGCCGGCTCTGGCGCGCACCACGCCTCGGCGCGGCGCGCGCCATCGGCGTCCCCCAATTCCCAGGCGGCGACGCTACGAGCATCTCCCGGCCTCCCCCCCCCGGAGCGGAGCGACACGCTACCCTCAGCTCGCAGGGCACAGAGCCTCGCAGGGGCCGCCGCCGCGACGCGCTGGAGCAAGAGGTCCCGATCCCAGCCCCGGATCTCCGGCGCCGTGTCTCTCTCACAGCGCGGAGCCCCAGAGGTCTGGGCTCCTGCCCCGAAGGGGCCCCAGGACACACAAATAAATACACACGCAAATAAACAGCTTGCCCATATTTTCCAATATTTTCTGGGTTTTCCCCCCCCACTTGCCATATTTTCTCATTTCTTCTTGGGAATCGACGATTACTTGTGTCTGTGTGTTTTTCCCCTCCTGACTCCCCAGGACCACTGCTGCACCCCGAGCTGTCTTTTTTGGCGGCCCCCGGGGGCCCGGCGCGGCGAGGCCCCTGCGGGAGGCCGGGCCTGGCCAAAAGCGCCTTCTGCGGTGAGCGCCCACAGCGCAGGGAGGCATGGCTTTCTGGTCATGGCTCGGGCCTTCGGCGGCAGCTCGGGACGAGACGCGCACCGCCGGAGCGCTCTCGGCGAGGCGGGGTCGTACAGGCCTCGGAGCAAATTAGCGAACACTCGTGATGCCACATCCATCTGTCAACGGCTCCCCCTCCCCCCAATGTTCAAGGTTGGCGGTGGGTCTGTCTGATGAGATGCACTTCGACCGCAGTTTTCCCCCGCGCGTGCCAACGTTGAGGTTAGGGGGGATGGGGAGTGTTCAAAAATTGTTTCCCTACTGTATGGGAGCCGACGGCGACGTTCGAAAACGTGGGAACGACCTCCGCCCCGACTTCCCGGAGCGCCGGAGGCCCAGGGCCCCGTGTGCAGGGGCGGGCGGGCGGGGCCCCCCCGCAGAGGCCGAGCTCCCGCAGCTGGACCGGGGCTGGCACCTCCAGGGCGAGCAGGAGCGGCGCCGGCTGAGCAGGCAGGGAAGCCGCAGGAGGAGGAGGAGGAGGAGGAGGGAGGAGGAGGGAGGAGGAGGAGGAGGAGGAGGAGGAGGGAGAGAGGAGGAGGAGGAGGAGGAGGAGGAGGAGGAGGAGGAGGAGGAGGAGGAGAGGAGGAGGAGGAGGAGGAGGAGGAGGAGAGGAGGAGGAGGAGGAGGAGGAGGAGGAGGAGGAGGAGGAGGAGGAGGAGGAGGAGAGGGGAGGAGGGAGGAGGAGGGAGGAGGGAGGAGGAAGGAAAAGGAGGAGGAAAGAGGGAGGAGGAGGAGAAGGAGGAGGAGGAGGAGGAGGAGGAGGAGGAGGAGGAGGAGGAGGAGCATCGCTCTACGTGCGCGCAGTCAGGAGGGAACGGCTGCGTGCAAGAGTGGCGTTTCGCGTGCGGGCACAATTGGGTCCCCAGATGGCCGAAAGGGCTGCGATAGCAGCGGCTTGCGCGCTCTCTCGTTTGGCCCCCCGCGCCCCCCCGAAAGCCGCGCACCAAAGGTCAGACTTGCCTATAGCCGAAGGGATTAGGGGGAGGGAGGGATGAGTGGTCGTCAGTCGTCGTCGATGTGCAAGCAGCGATCACGTCTTTACACTTGTCGATGGCAATCGACTGCCGGGCCTGCCGATCGTGCCTCGATCCGCTTCCTTCCTGGAGAGCGCGCCGAGCACGCGCTGCTTCGTGTAGCGGCCGTGGCACGGCACTCTGAGCCCCATTTGGGAGAGGAGAACGGCGTGTGCAGCAGCCAGCCAGAGGTGAGCGGAGGAGCCCGTGGGCCACGGGGATCTCGGGCAACCCAGGCCAGGTCCCCAGGGCCGCGCACGTCGGGCGGGCCGCCCACGGGGAGCCCCGAGGCAGTCCTTGCAAGCCGGCCCTTGCCCTGCATGCAGGGCCCGAGCACGCCGCCTCCAGGTGCGCCGCGGCTCGCCACGGAACCCGCCAGAGGAGCTTCGGGCCACAGGTAAGCCCGAAGGCCTCGGGTGAGGGGCCGTCTGGGGGCCCTCTGGGAACGCTCTCTGCCTCCTGGGGGGGCCTCTGGGGCCGTCTTGGGGGACCCCGAATCCAGTTTTCAGGGCGGGCCGGGCGTTTCGCCGGAGATTTCCTCACCATTTATTGAAGTTTAGACATTGGCAACCGTTTCACGGATGGAGGGCGGGTCGTTTTCAGAATGTGGTTCTCGTTTCAGCGCCGCGCGCATTCGTTGTTAAACTTTGCAAGAGTTTCGCGGATTGACGGCAGCCCGTTTTCAAAAAATGGCTCTCGCCTTAGCGCCGCGTACATGCGATTTAAAACACTGCAGGATTTTCACGAGTTTTTTTTTTTTTTTTTTTTTTTTTTTTTGTTCTTGTTGTTGTTGTTGTGGTTTTCTTGGTTATATATATAGAGGTATTAATTCAACGTGTGCAACAGTTTCACTGATTCACATGGTCAGCGTGCCAGAGATCGTGTTTTGGAAGGGTTCAGGATTATGAGGGTGCAACACTTACGTTGGTTCGCGGTGTTGAAGTCTCAGGAATGACGTTCTAGCACGATTCAGGATCGTCAAGACGCAGCAGTCACGTTGATGCGTGGCGTTGGAATCACGAGAACATTCTTTTGACATGTTTCAGGGTCTTAAAACGGTTGTCTTCCAACGAGGCAGGTCCCTCAATGGAAATTAGCCGTCATATGGGTCTATGAAGAGGGAGCTTGCAGGGAGGGTGTCTTCTAACATCGTAGCTGACTCTTGGGTTTACACTAGTCCTCCTTCTCCTCCTCCTCCTCCTCCTCCTCCTCCTCCTCCTCCTCTTCCTCCTTTATTTTTATTCCTTTACACAATTGCTCCCTGTCGCACCCCGAAGCCAGTTTTTAGGGCGGGCCGGGCGTTTCGCCGGAGACTTCCTCACCGTTCATGACCCTGAAGTGTAAACATTGGCAACCGTTTCGCGGATGGAAGGCGGGTCGTTTTCAACATGTAGCTCTCGCTTCAGCGCCTCGCGCATTCTATGTTAAACTTTGCAAGAGTTTCACGGATTGAGGGTGGCCCGTTTGTAAAATTTGACTCTCGCTTTAGCGCCTCGCGTAGTCGTTTCTGAAATTTGCAAGAGTTTCACGAATTTCTTTCATCAGCGTACCAGGAATAGTTTTTGGGAAGGATTCAGGATTCAGGATCGTCAATACGCAACAGTCAGGTTCATCTGCGGCGTTGGGATCCCGAGCAATGTTTTGGCATGCTACAGGGTCTTCAAACGGTTGTCTTCCAACGATGCAGGTCCCTCAGTGGAAATTGAACCGTCATATGGGCCTATGAAGAGGGAGCTTGGAGGGAGGGTGTATTCTAACATCGTTCATGACTCGTGGGTTTGCACTAGTCATTCTCCTCCTCCTCCTTCTCCTCCTCTTCCTCCTCCTTTATTCTAACTCCTTTGCATAATTGCTCCCTGTCGCACCCCGAAGCCAGTTTTTAGGGTGGGCCGGGCGTTTCGCCAGAGACTTCCTCACCGCTCATGACCCAGAAGTTTAAGCATTGGCAACAGTTTCACGGATGGAGGGCGGGTCGTTTTCACCATGTAGCTCTCGCTTCAGCGCCGCGCGCATTCGTTGTTAATCTTTGCGAGAGCTTCACGGCTTGAGGTTGGCCTGTTTTTAGAATTTGACTCTCGCCTTAGCGCCTCGCATATTCGTTTCTGAAATTTGCAAGCGTTTCACGGACTTCCTTGATCATCGTACCAGGAATGGTTTTTTGGAAGGATTCAGGGTTCAGGATCGTCAGTACGCAACAGTCAGGTTGATCTACCGCGTTGGGATCCCGAGCAATGTTTTGGCATGCTTCAGGGTCTTCAAACGGTTGCCTTCCAACGATGCAGGTCCCTCAGTGGAAATGAACCGTCATATGGGCCCATCAAGAGGGCGCTTGGAGGGTGTATGCTAACATCGTTGGTGACTCTTGGGTTTACATTGGTCCTCCTCCTCCTCCTCCTCCTCCTCCTCGTCCTCCTTCTCCTCCTCCTCCTTCTCCCCCTCCTCTCCTTCTCCTCCTTTCCTCCTCCTCCTCCTCCTCCTCCTCCTCCTCTTCCCCCTCGTCCTCCATTCCGCGCGCGAGCGATCACGCGGGGTTTACGTCTCGTCGAAACATGGGGCTTTTGGAGAGTCGGGATCGGCCTCAGAATCGGCTCGGACTCTGTCGTCGCATCCGACGGTGCTGTCCCTCAGCGGTGAGCCTGCCTGCCCGCAGCATTACGATTAAGTCGGGCGTGTCCCCCTACAGGGGGATTTTTGACGAAAAATAAAAATACCCCCCAAATGCCCCCAAATGGTTAGAAAATGTTCAAGAAATAGTCCCCCGACTATTTTTGGATTATTTTTTGATTATTTTTGGGGTATTCTTTATGTTTCGTCGAAAATCCCCCTGTAGGGGGACAGGCCCCACTTAACATTACGACGTGTCTTGACTCGTCGGCGCAACGGCGGCTCGCACACGACGCCTCCCCCAGCGTGCGACATTTCTCCCACGAGCCGCCAGGTGGGCCGACTCGGCGGAGCGCGGCCCGGCGCAGGCGGTGTCTCAGCAGGTGCTGATCGCGCGATCGTTTAGGTGCTGATCGCGCGATCGTTTAGGGGACAATTCGTTGTAACTATGTTCAGGTATTTTGTGAGTATTCTTGGAGTATTCTTAATTTTTCGTCGAAGATCCCCTTGTAGGCGGACAGGCCCGACTGAATGGTAGGCAGTCCGCTTGCTTCCCCTCCCCGCCCCGCGCCCCCCGCGCGCTGCCGCTGCTAGGGGGCCACATGCGAACCCTACCCCTACCCCCCACGATTTCCGAGGGGGAGGGTGGGGTTCACTTCGTTCGGGAGCTCCCGAGCGAAGTGAACCCCAGCCTCCCCCTCAGAAGTCGTGGGGGGTAGGGGTAGGGTTCGCATGTGGCCCCCTATCGTTGCTCGCGATGTTTCCGATCGCGTGCCAGGCGCCATTCGGAGGCTGGGAGAGGTGCCTCTCCCGGCAGGGGCCCGGCTGAGCCTCGGCAGCCCTGCCGGCGGCCCTGGAGCTCTTGGAGAGCCTTCGGAATCCGTCGGGAGAGCTCTGCAGGGCCCCAAGTTCAAGGCGATCTGCGACAGAAGTCCGGGAATCGACCTCATCCATGGTGCCACGGCTTTGTTGGCGCCGCGCACGTGGGGGCGGCGCCAAGTGGTGGGCCTTCTAAGTCTTAGGAGCCCTCCTGTCTGCTCAGACGCCATCTAAGAAGCCTCCAGGCCCTTCTCAGAAGGCCCCTGCCTTCCAAGAGATTCTGGGCCTTCTTAGAACGATGCCCCTCCTTTCGCTTCCCCACTTGATCGCCTCCAAAAGTCAAAGCCGATTTGGGGCCGGGAAGCGACATCATTCATAATGTCGAGGCTTGTGGAAATCGGATGATCAGGGCCGTTCGAAGCCGCTTCGCCTTGGGGCAGAACAGGACAGGAAGAAGCCGCGCGTAGACGGCGTATCGGCAAAAAACACCATGTCGAAAACTAAGACCCAGAAACGACTAGATGGCTCCGCTGAATGCAGGTGCGCCGGAACAAAGCCACTGTACGTAGACAGGTGTTGGGCGGTGGGTAGCACTACACTCGCACAGAGGACACGCAGGAGGGCATGGGGGGAGGGAGCGGAGGGAGGAAGGGGGAGGCAAGGAAAGCGGGGAGCAATCTATTTCATCAAACGGGGAACTGGGTCCCCCGGCCCTGGCCTGGCACACTTTCTCAAAGCTCGGCCCCCGACCACTCCCCAGTCTTCCCTTTTATTCCCGGCGGGGCCCCAGCTCTTTTCGGGGGGCTTCCGGGCTGGGCCCGCTGTTGGGGGGCCGCCGAACAGCACCCAGACAGGCGTCCCGAGGGCCAACGACTGCCCCGAGCTACCCCGAAGACGGCCCCCAGAGGTTTCGGACGGCCCAAGAAGCTCACGAAGCGGCCCGTGAGGCACCCTCGGAGGCTCCGAGGTGCTCCGACGCGCGCCCCGTGAGGCCAAAATGTTGTTGGCTATTTTCCATCGGTTTTATTGTTTTTTTGCGTTCGAGCTTTTTTTTTCGGGTTTCCAACGCCCCAAGACGGCTCAAGAGGCTCCCCAGGCCGCCCCATCAGGCCCCCAAGAAGCCCCCAAGACGGCGTCAGAGGCTCTCGTGGGAGCCCCAAGATGACTCGAGAGGGCCCCAGGACGGCTCAAGAGGCCTGCCAAGACGGCCCAAGAGGGGCCACTGAGCGGCCCCAAGAGGGGCCCAAGAGGGGGAACACGAACCCACAATTCCAGCCTTCCGCCCTCACACGCCCCCTAAGAGGCCCCGAAGAGGCGCCACGAGGCCCCCCCAAAAGTTTTCAAGAGGTTTCGAGAGGCCTCCACGAGGCCCGAAAGAGGCCCCAAGAAGTCTTAAAGAGGCCCCAAAGAGGCTTCCAACAAGGTACCAACGAACATCCCAGAGGTCTCTGACACACAGCCCGGGCACCGTGGCAGCATGTTCCGAAGGCATCCACACACACATATATATATATATATAGGTATGAATGTGTATATATTTATAGGTATATACACACGTGTAATGCATCACTATTTGTACATGTTCACAGCTATCTATGTATGTATGTATGCATGTATGCATGCAGGCATGTATGCATGTACGAGAGAACGCGTTTCACGGGCGCTTGCCTTGGGAACATTCGGCGGCGCGTTTCGAACCAGGGGGTGGCCCCCCACCCCAACACTCGGCGCCGTCGATCAAAACCAGGGAACTTCCCCTCCAGAACGCCCCCCCCCTCCCAAGGGGGGGGGGGTCCAAACCCCCCCTCCCTCCGGCGCCGGCGCCAGCGCTGGCGGCCGCCAGCAGCGCCGACGGCGGGGACGCAGCGACGATGACCAGAGGCAGCCCAAAGGAGTGCGGCGAGGGGGTTGAAACCCCCCCCCAGCGCGCCGGGGCCCGGGTTGAACCCCCTCCGCCCCCCCCCCCCTCCTCGCCGGCGCCGGCGCTGGCGGCGGCCAGCAGCGCTGGCGCTGGCGCCGGCGACGGCGGGGACGCAGCGACGATTACCACCTCTGTCACCTCCACCACGACTACCGCCACCACCACAACTCAACCCACCACCACCACCACCACAACTCAACCCACCACCACCACCGCCAACTGCTGCCCGAACCCTCGCCGAATCCGAACTCGTTGCCCTGCTCTCGATGCCTTCGCGCGTCCCTGCCGACCCGTTCAGAACCGATACCCATGCAAGCTGCCTCGACCCGGGTAGCGTGGGAGCATGTGGTGGAATAAATGGGTGGGGGGAGCTGGTGTCTGTCGAAGGAGGAGGAGGAGGAGGAGGACCAGTAACGGTGTTGCAGGAAACCCTCCCTCCAAGGTCCCTCTTCACAGGCGTCTGCAAGAATTTGTTCTCATTCGGGAAGTGCCCCATGGAAGAAAGCCGTTTGAGAAGCCGCAGCCGTGCCAAAACACCATTGGTGGGACTTCAGCGCCGCGAATCAACGTAACTTTTTCGTCCAGACCGTCCCACGTCGTGCCAGAACACCATTAGTGGGACTTCAACACAGCGAATCAACGTGACTGGTGCGTCCTGACAAGTCTAAGTCGTGCCAGAACATCTTCGTTGAATCTGTCGCAAGCGTTTGAGACGAATGTGAGCGGCGCCAAGGCGCGAACCGAATCTTGAAAAGCAGCCGCCCTCCATCCGTGAAGCCGATGCAGAACTTTCCAGACCACTGTGCAAATCGCCAGGGCGAGGGGCACATTTGGAACACCCGCCCCCTCCACCCGTGGAACACATGCAAACTTTGAAGACGAAGGTGCGCGGCGCTGAGGCGAGAGTCACATTTTGAAAACCACCCGCC